CGGCTGGTGGGGGGGGGATGGGGGTGGGGAGGGTGAGTGCTGATTTGATTTGTTTTGTTTCCTTCCCCCTTTTTATTTGAGGGCGGGGGGGTGAGATGAGTGGGACATGTGCATGACGGGTGTGGTGGGTATAGGAAAAGCGGATGCTGCGTCTGGCGAATAAGGCGAGGACGATCACCGAGCTGTACAAGCAGGCGTCGATTGTTGTCCCGTTGGCCGTGCCGGAGAGGTTGACAAGCAGAGTGCAGCTGGACCCGACTTCCCTGTGGCACACCTCGGCGTTGTTGGCAGCTGCGGTGGAGAGCGTCATGCTGCCATCGAGAATGAAGGATCCCCTGAAGAGGGAATCCCTGGGTCAGATGGCCGAAGTCCTGAACGTCATGGGCAAGCAGAGCGTTGCCGGCCTACAAATGAGCTTTGCGCGGCCGGGGTCGGAGGATACCAGGGAAAAGAAACTATCCGAGGAGGAACTTTCCGAGGGCGTGCAGCTTGATATTCGCTTCGCGCCGTCGTATCAGCTCGACTCGTATACCCGGTCGAATGGGTTCGACAGGCCACGCGTGTTCGGCCAGCTGGTCACCTCGCGGGGTTATGAGGAAGAGCAGGGTGAGAATGGGGAAGAGGATGAGGCAGGCCGTCGGGTGCGGCGAAGCTCTTACGAACCTGTAACGAAAAGGTATGTCCCCGTGGCAACGATAACATCTAAACCCAGGCTAACCGGTGCCCAGCTGCACCACGGACCTCCGATTCCCACTGCTGGATAGCTTTCCAGAGATCTTCCGAGGCGACGACGATGAGCCGCTGACGGAATCACTCAACATCACAAGCAGCTTATCCACCGACTCGTCCGTTGCTCGGAAACTGAAGCAGCTGCGGTCAACGGTTATTCGGTCCATCGGTCTAGAAGACCGCGAAACACTCGGGAACGAGCTCATGGAAATGGCAGACGAGTACCACGAGGGGTGGTCAAGCGGGAGTGACGATGGGGAGGATGACTAACGGTTATATGCCTCATGAGGGGGCCGGGGGGATAGGAAGGAAGTCTGTCAATAGTAGGAGGTACGTCAATACCAAAAGTATGTCACTAACAAAGGTCTTAATCTTTCCAAACCAGTGCTTCTAGAAACTTGGTTATACTGCTCGTTGCCGCGCTACCATGACCCTTCTCGAGTTCTCGGCGGTGGTGGGGATATCTCAAAGCTTGCGCAAGCAACAACTTGAATTCGTATAAATCCATTTATGTCAGGTACTATGAAGCCTACAGAACGTTGGTACCCGAATAGCATGGCAGCTCCAACCCTGGTTGATAGAGAAGTTTTGGAGTGCCTATTATCACCGACCACCCCCAGAATGGCCGAGCGGTCAGGGGGTGGTCGAGGCCCCGGGGCGAAAACTCCTGGTGATTTTCTCTCTGAGAGCTCATCAGTTCGAGCCGCCTCGGGGCTATTAAAAAAAGGGAACTTGTGGTTCGCCCCCTTCCCTCGAGCAACCGAAGTAAACCCCCCAAGGGGTTTCGTAACCGGCTCCCCCCCTTCGAATAGAGGGTTAGCCGGCGAGCTTTTGTTGTTTTTATGCACTAATCCTGTCCGGAGGACAATATTGTGCTGAAACTTTTATATATATATATATGCCCGCCGTGCTTTTTTGTCTCTCTCCTTTCTTATTTATCTGCCAGGCTTTCTCTCTGTTTTACTTACTTACTACCACAAAAAAGTCGGTCAACTAACTATTCAACACTTGATTGGCTCTTCGATCTGGATGGGCAGACTGCCGACAGGCTGTGTTGGCAGGCTCAGCCCCAGGCTCGGAAACCACCATGCATGGGAGCCTCGCGAGCCTTATTATCTACCCCTCAGAGCCTTCATCTTCTCCTTGGTTCAGCAACTTCCACGACCCGAAGCCATCAAGGCTTCGGTCCCTTATCTTCCCCACAAGATGGCCACCGCCGGCGAAATCATCGCCATCACGGCAAGATCGACGTGGACGGGGATCCGGCGGCAGGTCGCCGCTATGGGGCGTATGGTAAAGAGGATGGGTTCGTTGGTGAAGGATGTTCGGGAGTTGTTTGTCTTGTGGGTGCCTTCCGCGGTCCTGCTTGGTTGTTGATGATTTGCTCACCCACTCGCCTATTTAGCTTGGCGGCGTGCTCGAAGGAGATGCTGGCTGAGATTGGGAGGAATACGTGAGTTTCCATGAGCATCCCTTATTTACTTCGCTAACTCCTCTAGCCGTCTACTGCTTGGTATTGCTAGCCATCTCAAGCGTGTTATACAGGTCATTGAGGCCATGCCGCGCGACCTAGGAGTGGATATCATCCGCCTGGATGATGCTTGGGGCGAAACCTGGGGATTACCTTTACAAGCCTGCGGAAGTTGGGAGGTGAGCTTGCACTGCTTGTGTTTCTATCCACTGTACTGATATGTATAAAGTCATTTTGCGACTTGCTTCAAGGTGTGGTGTATGCTGGCAAGCCGGGCCTCGACCAAGTCGCGAGCGGCCAGTTTGCGATTACATTGGCAAAGAGAGGCGACTTCAACCTCAATTCATTCAGCTGGGATAGTTCTTTGGAGAAGAAACTGCATATTGAGCAGGCCATAGTTGTCCCCAGAGCCTACTCAAGGCCGAGTAAAGGATGTCCTTTCCCAGGTTGCTGTGGTACGACTGTATTAGAAGTTAAGGGCAAAATGAGATGGTAAGTGACCTCAATCAATTGGCGGGAGACTTCTTGGCAAGAAAGGCACTTACCATGCTCTCCAGCTCGACATGTGGACGACAAGCGGCGATTCGGAGACGACCCCAGAGCATCATCAACATACAACATGCGTCAGATCAATCCCCGGAACCGCAACCGGGCATCTTGCCAACGTCTCATGGGCTGGGCTCACCACCAATACAGTTGGTAGGCGGAGAATACCAGCATTTCCGCCGCCTGCAGTTTCAGGAGCCTGCGAAGCCAGTTCAAAACTCCCGCGAGATTTTGCATAGATTAGTAGAGGACTTCAGAGATGTGACGGCCAATGCCTACTCCGGCAATCTAATTCTCCAAGTTGTGGAAGTAGATAACCCCTGGTCCCCTGACGAGACTGTCGTAGCTCTCAAACATGCAGTGTCATGTCTCGGCCGCGCAATAATCTCCGGTGAGTTGCCCTCCTAACCATGGCCTCTCAGAAAGCAACGAGGTTAACATCGACGCCGAAAGAGCCCACCATTGCAGACCATTGGTACCTCTTATTAAGAGCATACATGAAACTGGGAGCGTTTAGGTTAGCGAGGACAGCCATGAAGTACGCGGTGCGCGAAGCGCCGTCCATTCAAGCCTTCTCCATCACAATCGGGATCATATATTCCTATCTCGGAGAGTATGGTGACGCGTTCGCCGCCTTTTTCGAGGCCTCGAGACTAGATCCCTCCCAATACCTAACCTTGTACAACCTAGTGGTGTTGGTGAGTTTGCTAAGCTCCCTTTTCCTGGCGATATTTCACTGACACTGCACATCTAGTTTGATGCCGGCGAGGAAACAGCCATGGCCATACAATTCTTCGATGCTTGTCTACCGCCGCCAGACGACTTTAAAATCCATGACCTGGAAGATTACAGGCTGACTGATGTCCTAAAACAATTCAATCTCCGAAGAGACACTATCACGGCAAGGCAAACTATGACAAAACCGACTTTATATTCTATCGACGTACCTCGTCCACCTGCCCAGGGCCCATCCCAGAATAGACGCCATCACCCCCCACCCCCCACCGGCTGATCCAGCGTATGCCCAGCCAAGGCGACGTCTACCAGACACCCAAACGCCGGTTGATGATGATGATGCCCCTTAAGAGGTCCCCAGTGACCCACGGATGTACTAGCAGTAGTACAAAGTTCAAAACAACAGTCAGATAGCTACTAGTACAGACAGACAGACAGATGCAAACCATCAATGCGACCCACTCCCCCCAGTCCTACCACTACCCCCGTCCAACAACAAATGCGGCTTGATATAATCCTCATCCAGCTGGCGAAACAACGCCGACGGATCCTCGGTGCTGAACAGCTGCCGAATCGCGGCCGTAGCCGTGAGAGGCTGCTGCTGCTGACCAGCGCCGCTCCCTCCTTCGCCGGCCCCCCCACTCTGTCTGCTCGGGCCAGCACCACCCTCACCGCCGGCACCGTTGGTAGGGGCGAGCATCGGGGACCGGCTCCTGGACACAGGCGCCGCCGGCGGCAGGTCCGAGATGTCGATGTCGCTGCCAAACTCCGAGTCGGTGTCCCGACCCGGAGAGGCCGCGCCCAGCAACTCGGACCGCTCGTACTCATCCCCGTTGCCGCTCGCCTTCTGGCTCTTGTTCCGGCTCCGGCTGCTACTACCCTGGCGCACAAGCGGCGCCGTGTTGGGTGACCTGTGCCCTGACGCCCACCCGCCGTTCTCTTCCCTGCTCCCGCTGCCGGCGCTGGTTCCGACGTCGCCTAGCGGCACGGCCGATCCGCGGTTGCGAGCGCGGGGGTTGAACCCGATGGCGGTGTCGGCGCGCTTGTACAGGCCGCCGCCGACGGCTTCGATGTCGAACTCGTCGTCCGAGTCCATCTCTTCGGTCACGCCGGTGCGGATGCCGAGAATCTCCAGCATGCGGGCTGTGGTGCCGCCGAAGATGATGACGGTCAGGACCACGACGACCAGCACGGTGGCCTGCAGGGCCTGGGTCTCCTTGGCGGTAAAAAGCGCTGACAGAGCGACGCCGACGGCGCCCCGCAGCCCCGCCCAGAAGAGCATCGCCTGGTAGCTGTACGGCAGCTCGTCGGCGACTTCGCGGCCCTGGCGGCGGGCGCGGTATCGGATGAACCAATTAATGGCTTTGGAAAGGGGGAAGACGGCGAGCCAGCGCGCCGCGCAGACAGAGAGGACGGTGACGATGATCAGGAGGGGCTGGTAAACGAGATTCTTCTCGGTAAAGAGGGCCAACCCGAGGTAGATAAAGATAAAATTCTCGGAGAGCTGGGCGGTGACCTGGAAGAAGTACTTCGTGGTAAGTTGGGTGCGACGAGACATGTTGAAGTAGGCGTAGTGTTTGAGCGTAATTCCGCAGAAGAGCAAGGCGACGATGCCTGTGAGAGTTCAGCGTTTACGGTCAGTGAAAGGGTCTTCTCCGACCACGTACCGGACATGCCAATGGCTTGAGCGAAAAAGTAGGTTGCGTATGCGACCAGCACCACCAGGGAGCTCTCAATGTGGGGGTACCGACGGACATAGGTATATTTCAACCCAAGCGCGGTCAAGACGCCTATCAGGGCGCCGATGGCCAAGCTGCCAAAGAATTCGGACAAGAAGTACCAAATGCCGTGGAGAACGCTCCATATGCCGATCCCCCCACCCTTGGTGCCTGCGCTCTGGGCCGACTCGAAAATGACAATGGCGACGGCATCGTTTAAGATGGACTCGCCAAAAATGATGGTGTATAGCTTCGGATCGACCTTGAAGGCGTTGAAGATAGCTAGGATGGTGACGGGGTCCGTGGCCGACAGGGTTGCTCCAACCGAGATGGCGTCGACCCACGACACATCCAGACCTTCAAGCGAGATGGACGTGTAGAGCCACAGGAGCACGCCGATAACCACGGCCGAAATGAAGGTTCCGGCGAAAGCAAAGGTTAGGATGGTGCCGATATTTCGGAAGAAATTGGCCTGATGGAGCTCGTAGCCAGACGAGAGGATGATGGGCGGAAGAAGCAGGTTGAAAAAGTACTGGTAGTTGAAGTTGAGAAGATCACGGATCGAGTCGAAGCCGGCGATACGCAAGATCAGGCCGACGGTCATGCCGCCAAAGATGGAGACGACGGTTTCGTGTATGGCCGTGATCTTCCTCTGCTGCATGGTGTAGCTGGTGCAGAAGGCCACGATGAGCAGCATGATGACGATGAAAATGGCCCATGATGAATTATTCTCCTGCTTCGGGGCGTCGTCGCCTGCAGTAGTGTGTTAGCGCGATGCTGTGCTTGCTTTGCTTGTGGATGTGGGCTCGATCGAGGGCGCATAGGTTGTCGACGGCATACCGGGGTCTTCCTCCTCTCTCCCTGTGACATTTTTGTCAGCGTCCGGCGTGTGGGAAGATACACAGCGATGGGCAAGTATAAATCGAAAACGGAGGTAATAATGGCGTACTGGCAAGCCCCATGAGGGTGCTGATGACTGTTTGCGAAAGCATGGTGGAGATGGCGGCGGAGCTTGCCTAGCTCGTCGCGCACGCACACGCGACGGAGCGGCAGCCGAGATTCGAGATTTGAGACTTGCAAACTTGCTGTAAGCCGCTTTCACGATGGCTACTAGGGGTAGTCGGATGCCGGATGGGGGCCGCGAGGGTATGGAATCGATAACGTAAAAGCGCAACCCTACAAACGCGATTGATTTGACACGGCACAAGGATCTCTCAGCTGGAGAATGGGATGAAGTCGTCAGCTTTCCTTGGCTTGATTGTCCCACTTGCCCGCTCAAGCCACTGCAAGACACTCACCCCACAAACGGAGGGATCGGCCAATCGATGGGCGGCCGATAGGCCAGACAGGGGTCTGAATATCGGGATGGAAAGCTCGGATGAAGCGGGCTTGCATTTGCAACTGTCACTCGTCTTCAAAGCCCGGAGTCAACCAAGAGCCGAATCCCGCTTTGCCTACAAGAAGAGGATGGCACGTTTTACAAGTTAAGTCTAGAAAGCGCTCCTCAGGCCACCGAATTTGGCTGTGCATCCCCGCCATTTTCGGCGGTCGCAGCAGTGCAAGCCGAGGGAAAACGAGCCGTTTTGCGAAGAGTATAATAACATAAGTCCGTCGGGAAGCAACTTAGCTGCCTAATTCGCTGTTAAACTCCTCCCATATCGCTCCGCTTCGCCGGTCTGTCGCGCATATTATCGCCTGTTGTAGCATTTACAGAGCTATCGGGGGACGGCTGGCGATCCTCAAGGTGGGAGTCAAGGCGGGACTCAAGGCAAAAGTCCCATATGGAGACACCTATAAGAATTCCGTGTACCGCCCTAGGAGGTAGGATTAGTGGCTTAGTGGTCCGAAGTGCGCCAGAGTGGAGAGATTACAGCATCGTATATATCATATAGTACTGGTCGTCGAGGAGAGTATAAATGAAGGGACCGGCGCGCTTGTCAAAGTGAGACATGGCCTCAGCAAAGTCGTACCCAATGCTCGCGCCCAGGAAGATTAGGATGACAATATCGAAGATGACGACACACGGAGGGGGGACATGGCGCAGCCGATGATGGCGATCTGTGAGGGCCACCACTTGGCTAGTATCGTGTAAAATTGCGCAGACGACCTGCTCGTTGAGAGGGCTCATGTTAGCCAGGGCGAACCGAGAAACAGCGGCGGAGGCGGACCTACAGCAGCGTATCTGATGCCGTTCGAGTGGTCCAGCGTTTTACTGAGATAAATGAGGAAGATCAAGACAGCGAGTTCAAAGAGAAGTGCTAGCCCCCTGCAGAAAAGGTGAACTCGGGTCGCCGGGTTGGTTAACCCCTTGCGCAACATGGTGTAATTAGGTTCCAGGTAGGCAAGTTTGGCCACAAATCGCCATGTGTAAAAGAAACCGACGAAGGGATTGGTTTCTGGGTTTCAACAGTCTGCATGCAAACTTTTGATGAACTCGCAAAACTCGGGATGTGTGCGTAATAACCGAGCTGGAGTTGGGTCGGTTTGGGGTCCGTTCAGTACCTGGGTCGGTCGCGGCGCGGAATTCACGTCCGGGACGGAAACGAATATATCCATTTATATCACCTACCTAGGTACTTACCTACCTATGCCCTTTGATTGCGGCCCGCGGTAGCATCAGCCTTGCAGCTCCGTTGGTTCGGCCGAGCACTCTCCTCACACGTTAGTTAGTATGTTCGACATCGGAAAAGCTGCTAATAAAGAACATGGAACTACCCTTTCTGCCGAATTTGCTTCCAAAATACCACTAGTTATCCAAGACTGGATTGGTAGCTCTCAAGCGTCCAATCCCATCTCGGCCTGAGTCGTCAACTGAGCAGTCACCAGGTGCAACTTTTCTGTCAGCTGGACGACCTATCAGTGCACAGGTTCAGCCTGGGCTTCTTCTGCCTCGCTCACTCGCACCGCGTACCAACAAGTGCATCCGACAAGATCAACAAGATTTCAGCCCTGCCCCAGGCAAGCCACCCGGAACGCGTCAGGTGGAATCTGGAGAACCCGGTGGCCCCACCCATGCTCAAGACCCCTGTGCCCTGTAAACCGAAGCAATCCACAACCAACCGTCGCTGGTCCGCCCTCCATTTCCCCATTCGGCCCCCTGCAAGCTCAATGTTCCAGACCGGTGCCGCGTGACGTCTCTCTCTCTCCAAACATCCATTCGCCATGCCATCAGGCTCCGTGCATCCTCCATCTTGGACATCCTAGCACGACGCTCGCCTGCCGAGGTACTAAACCTACCCAAATACCTACCATTTCATCTCTTTTATCTTCCTGGACTCACTCTACTCCAGCCGACTGACGACGGGATCGTGGCATCCTCTGACTTACCTAACTATCTGATGCCCATCACTAACTAACTAACATCGAACACTAAACCCCGACGTTCAACCATCGAGCTCCGACATCAGCCTTCTCGTTTCGAATCTGTCTTCGAAACCACCGTCAATTCCGATTCAAGCACCGAGCCTAGGCTCATCTAGGCTCCGTCACGACCCGCGTTCCGAGTCCCTGTGAAGACGAGCTTCGTCTAAGCTGTCGCCTTGCAATATTTCAAGATTGAGCGACACCGACACCCCCCCATTTGCCTAGTCTACGAGGAACGCCGAGCTGGACAACAGCCGCACCTATACCTTTCCTGCCTCGCATGACGTCGTCGTTAGTCGAGTCTCCAGATACGGCCCGCCCGCCTAACGAGCACCAAGCGCCGCCAAACACGACGAAGAAGGACACTGAACAAGAATCGAGCGGCTCTCGTCATGTACAAGAGCGCAGCAACACAGAACCTCTCAATGAGCAGTCACCTCTGCTATCCCCAAGCTCCGGCTCGGGCGAGGATGATGGTTTGATGGACGGTCAACCCCTTGGTGGGGGTGTTAACGAGCACCAGAAGACCAAGAGCATATGGTACCTCATCCTCCTGACCATCAGCATCGGCGGTCTGCAGATTGCCTGGTCAGTCGAGATGTCAAATGGCTCGCCATATTTGCTGTCGCTAGGCATCAGCAAGTCCCTTATGGCCCTCGTTTGGATTGCCGGGCCTCTGTCGGGGACCCTGGTGCAGCCGTATGTGGGTATGCTGAGCGATAACTGCCGAATTCCATGGGGGAGGCGCAAGCCGTTCATGATCGGAGGCACCGTTGCCACAGTGGTCTCGCTGCTGTCCCTCGCCTGGACCAAAGAGATGGTCGGCGGCTTTCTCGGACTATTTGGGGCCGTTCCAGGCTCGGACGGTGTCAAGTACACGACCATAGTCGTTGCGGTTCTATGGGTCTATGTCCTCGACTTTGCCATCAACACGGGTAAGCCTTCAATATATCTGCGTGTTGCAGATGACCTCGGTTGTTGATACACCAACAGTCCAAGCATCTATTCGTGCTTTTATCGTAGACTGTGCACCCACCCACCAGCAAGGTCAGTCGCCCCTTACCAAATGACAAGTACTCGACAAAACGCTGACGACTCCTACAGAGAGCGCCAATGCCATGGCTAGTCGCTTCCTTGGTATCGGGAACATCGCTGGCTACCTCGCCGGCTACTTGGACCTGCCCTCCGTTTTCTGGTTCTTCGGTGATACCCAATTCAAGGATCTATGTGCCATCGCCAGTATTGCCCTGATCGCAACCATTGCCTTAAGCTGCGCCTTGATCCATGAACGAGATCCCCGCCTCGAGGGTCCTCCAACCAAGGACAAGGCTGGCGTTATGGCCTTCTTTCGCAAGATCTTCACGTCCATCAAGCGGCTCCCGCCCCAAACCAAGAGGGTCTGCCAGGTGCAGTTTTGCGCTTGGATCGGCTTTTTCCCCATGCTCTTCTATACCTCCGAGTACATCGCAGAGATCTACGCGGAGCCCTATCTTGAGGCGAACCCCAACATGACCCCAGAGCAGCTCGACATACTTTACGAGGACGCCACCCGGAAAGGCACTTTTGCCCTCCTCATCTTTGCCATTATGGGCCTGCTGACCAACGTCTTCCTGCCCTTTTTCGTCGAACCGACCTACGAAACCCGGCCTAGCGTGACTGCCAGCGCTCCTGGGGAAGCTCCAGGCTCCCTCAAAAGCTACGACGAGGAGAAAAAGCCCTGGCTCGACTACCTGGTTATCCCGGGACTTACCCTCCGCCGCGCCTGGATGTTCGCCCAGATTCTCTTCACCGGCAGCATGCTCTGCACCGTATTTGTGCGCACAGTGGCCGCCGCCACCACCCTGATCGGTCTCGTCGGTATCACATGGGCGCTAACGCTCTGGGCGCCGTGGGCCATCATCAGCGCCGAGATCTCGCGCCGGGACGAGATCCGCCGCTCGCAGTACGCCCTGCGCGACCCCTCCTCGAGCGGCCCCGGTCCCGTGGCCTCCCTCGACGGGTACTCCTCGGACGAGAACCGTGAACGGGCCCTCGACGAAGAAACCGAAGGCGACGCCGACGACCAAGCTGGCGTCATCCTAGGCATCCACAACATGGCCATCGCGGCGCCCCAGATCATCGCCACTGTCGTCAGCAGCATCATCTTCCGCATCTTTCAGAAACCGCGCGGCGTCCCCGGCGACCACAGCATCGCCGTTGTATTGGCCCTGGGCGGCATCACGGTGCTGATCTCGGTCTTCTTCATCCATCGCATCCGAGACGATCCTGGGACCCCCGTCGATGCTATGAGTGCGGTCGAGGACGGTGAGGCTGGGAGCAGGCCGAGCACGTCGCACAGTAGGTCGCGCTCGTCGGAGCAGCTGCCGCGCGCGAGTTTGGAGAGGGCCGCGCTGGTGAGGAATAAGAGTTTTGGGGGGGTTGAGTATTGAGGGGCTGTTGGGGGGTGTAAGGTGCAGGTGGTGGCGTATAATTGGGTTCTATGAACGGCTTAGATGTCAAGGCTGAGGCTTCTTATTCTATGTTGATTAAGAGAGAAGGGTTGGTTCATTTTTTTGTTGGATTGGACTGGGCTTGGGGGAGTTGGACGGTGTGGGTTAGGAGTTCTTCCTTGCCTTATTGAGTCATGATACAATGTAGCTTGAAGGTGGTATTGCCAAATACATCACTATAGTTTCTAGGTTTCACGGTATTATATCACGAACTATATTTTCACCCTGGCCCCATCCCATTTCAGTCCAACCCATTGAGCGAACCCGGTCCAGGATGACATGGCCCTGCCAGGTCTAGGGACGGGAAGGAGTCGCGCCACATACACAGTAAATGTCTCGGGAGTAAGATGCACAACTATTCTTATCTCGGATCTTAAGAGACATTTCCCTCCATTCGTGGAACGGCCTCGGCCTTTTGGTTTGCCCAACTTCATCTGTATACAAGCCGTTGTGGGGTTCTCATCGATGGCGACAACTGCTGGCTGCTACAGGCTAAACTCTGCGGACCTCGACACTGTTAATGAACCCGGCCTACTCTAAAAGCCGCGGAGGTTTACATCCGCATAATAAACAAAAATGATGTCTAATAACGGACCGCAATGCCTCTGTTATATGGCGGTACTAATTACCGTGCAGCAGGGTCTAATATGCCGGTGATTCGGGGAATCATTATCATGTCGCACCGAGCGGTTTGCGGAAAGAGGTTGACGATGGTGTGAAGGGGGGAACAAGTTGGTATAAGATCTCCAGCCGGTGAACCAGGAATCACACATCGTAGCTCCCAGTGTGGCCTTATTAAAAATCGATCATCTCGTCGCCAGCTATTACCCCTGAATTCTCCCCCTTTGTACATACATACCCTCCCCCAACCTTACAATGAAGGCGGCCACCATCCTCGCAGCCCTCGCGGCCTCAGTCGACGGCGCAGTCCTCTGGGACGGCCGGTTCAACGAGTTCACCAGCTCCAAGGACCTCAACACCTGGTCCTGGTCCAACCAGGTCGGGCCCTACCAATACTACATCCACGGCTCCGGCTCGGTCGAGAAATACATCAACCTGTCCCCCGACTACAAGAACCCGGCCGACAAGGTCTCGACGCAGGGGCGCCAAGTTCACGCTGGACAGCACGGCCTTCTGGAACGGGCAGAACATGCGGCGCACGGAGCTGATCCCGCAGACTAAGGCGGCCATCAACCGCGGCAAGGTGTACTACCACTTCAGCATGATGCGCAAGGACACCAACGCGCCCAGCGTCAACCGTGAACACCAGATCTGCTTTTTCGAGAGCCACTTCACCGAGATGAAATACGGCTGGATCAGCGGCGAGCAGGGCACCAGCAACCCCAACCTGCAGTGGATGACCAACCAGCAGAGCCGCTGGAAGACCGAGTGGAAGGCCGGCGTGTGGCACAACATTGCCTACGAGATTGTCAGTACTTACCCCCCCCCGCGCAACCGCCGTCCCTCCCCCAGTACCTACCCATCCATCCTCTATGCAATACACGAATAGAAACCACCTAACCCCCCGCTCACCCCCCCCCCCCCCTCGAAACAGGATTTCTCCGCCAACAAAGTCGGCTTCTGGCACTCGGAGGGGTCCGACCCGCTCAAGCAGGTGGTCGCGCCCGTGTCGGGGTCGACGTCGTCCAACGGCGCCGACTGGCACCTGGGGGTGCTGGAGCTGCCGCGCTCCGGGTACGCGGACACCAACGAGGACTTTTACTTCTCGGGCGTGTTTGTGGAGGACGGCACGATCACCACCGCGGTGGGTGGGCCTGGTGAGTGGGCTCTTTTTGGTTGTTGTGATGGGTAGTGGTTTTGTGGGTGGGATGTTGGCTGACAGACTGACTGGTGTTTAGCGTAAATTGTGAGGAGGTCGAGGGAGTGAAGGGAGGATGGGGGAGGCTGGGCTGGGAGATGGATGGGGCTGGTTCTGTGAGCATATATCATCACCCTGCCAGGGGCAATTCACTGCATGGACCAACTTCCACGGTTATATTCACCAGCCTACCTTGACAACCCAACGTCAACGTTCACGTTCTAAACGTTTTTGAGCGGCAAGACAAACGTATGTCTTTACGGTAAGGGTATCGTATCATCGTAAAGGGTAGTAGAAAAGACACCGAGAGTGGAAAAAAACCTAAGGCCCTGCCCGCCGAGCCAGTGTTGGTCCCGAGTTCCGTCGTTGAAATCCAGTCCCGCGTCTACAACAACCACCGCTTAGCCAAATCCTGCCCGGTCGGCCACACTCTCGTACGCCACAGCAGAATAGTGTGCCTCAAAACCCAGAGCACCGACCCCAGCAAAAAAAAAAAAAAAGCCCAACCCTAAGGATGCCCGGGGAATAAGAAGAGAATTGTAAATTTGAACAATGTGAAAAAGAAGAAAAGCGTGCGTGAAGTCGTGATGCGCGAGCACGAACGAATCCGGTCGTGCTCATCGCGGAGTGAGAGTAGAATGATTCAAGTATGTCACGATCCCCCGCCGTTGGATATTACTGCGTTAGGAGTCTCAGACGGCGCCCCTCAGCCTCTGCTTGCGGGCCAGCCAGTCCCCGAGCATGTCATCAAGTCGCTGTAGCACAGAAAATCAGCAAACCATCACAGGAATAAGGGTTTCGAGGGCCCAACTCACCGTCGTAATCTCAGCCAGCTTGGCGTTCTGTTCCCTAAACAGCGACGCAGCAACATGGTGGTCCGGGCCAATATCATCCACCGTGTTCTTGTCGTACACCACAAGCAGAAGATCCCGGACATCAGAGCCGGAATCGAAAAAGGCGCGCAGGCCGGCATCGTCCCAGGACTCGGACCTCGTCGTCGATGGCGTCGTCGAGGTCTTGTTGCCAGACATGTCGGCGTCCTCGTGCTCGACAAGCTCGGGCGACGGCGTCGCACTCTACGCTGTTGGCATGAGATCGCGGTCTTCTTCCTGGCTGGCATTGTCGACCACCAGCGGATGGTTGGATGGCCACCTGCGATTGGTGATACCTGGACGGGTGAGTCCGATAGCTGGTCCGCCGTCTGCGCTGGGATCTTGACAACGGGCGCCGCGGCTGGCGTGGGTTGAACAGCCGCTGGTGGTCGCTGGCCAGCTTCCATGATGTTGTCCTGGGCAGCGCGCGGTTCTTGTCGGGTGGTTTCCTCCGGTATTGGTGCCTGCCTTGTAGGCTCGGGTGCAATCTCCTCGTCGGTTTCAGAGTCATCAAGTTCCGCACGGGGTTTCGCAATGGCGGATTTGGTCGGGCGAGGCTCTGGTCTTGCCGTCTTTGACAGAGAGCTCTTGACAGGCGATGCGTCGCGGCCTGGCCTCTGGTCTCGGGGGCTGCCTTGGGGAGACGCCTTCGGACTGGACTCGACCAAGCGCATCGACGCTGGAGGAACATTCGCAACATTATTGATCCTCCCTTCTGACAGGTAAGGTTTGGCGTCCACGCCGTTGTTCTCTCTGACGCTGTTGGATCTCCTGGTGGGAGACGGGTCGCCTCTCGGATGTTTCTGCAGCTTGCTTGGGTTCCTCTGGGGGCCCGCCTTCTCTGGAGATGGGTGCGGTTCGTCTTCCTCCATGTCCTTTTCCGGGGCGTCTGCGTCCATCGACCGCTTGCCAAATGAATCATCGTCATCATCTCCTTTTGCTTTCTTATCCTTTCGGGAGAAGAAACCCCGCAAACCGCCAGCCTTCTTGTCCTTCTCCTTCTCCTTCTTCTTTTTCTTGTCGTCCTTGCTGAAGATGCTGTCCTTGTCGAGTTTGTCTAAGCTCGGACGAGGTTTCACATCCCTAGATTCACTCGAGGTCCGCGGGGCATTGTCGTCACGCAGCAGGTTCGGAGTCAGCGTGATCTTCTTGGTCTCGACCGTATCGTCCTTGAAAAACGAGTCCCGTACGGTGCCGTCGCTGGACTTCTTCGGCCCGTCTGCCTTGACTTCGGCAGTCTCCTCCACAGCCCGCGACACGGTCTTGTTGGCGGATGATGCTTCGACGTCGCCGTTGGCTTCTTGCCGCTTTGAATCGGCCTTGGTTTGCTTCGACTGAGATTTTGGCTTCAACGGTTCCACCTTGGCTGTCTCGTCCTGCATCTCCCCATCTCCAGTTGATTGCTGGGATTGCTGGGATTGTTGCCCTTGTTGCTGTGCGAGCTCACCGTCGGCGTCTTCTTCCTCGGTCGAGTAATCGATATCGGAGTAGTCAACATAAGTGGGAGCGGCGAACTGGACGTTTTTGGTCTTCCTCCTTTTCATAGCAGACCTGATAGGGTTCCGGGCCTTGTCTTGTTGATCTCCCAACATGGACGCAGAAAGCTACACACCGTTAATACAACCCTCCTAAGAAGTGCCACTCTCCCCCAGCTTACGTCGATGTTCCGGTGTTTGTTTAACCGGGCTAACCTTTCGGTGGGCGTCTCGATATGCTCTGCTGGTAGATAACCTATCGGGAATTCACGGTTAACTCTCGCCCCTGCAACGGACTTTGGGGCGATTCACCGATGCTGCTATCTTTGACAACCCGTACCAGCCACCAGTAGCTGTTGCTGTCGTCGAGGAGGACCATAGTATCACCCTTCGTAGCGTTTGCCTGTCCCTCAACGGTCGCCACAAAAGTGTGAAGAGCATAGACGAAATCGAAGTCGATGTCCTCTGTATCTTGTAAGCATTCGCCACCCCAGCCGGAGTCAATAAACCTGGAATCAGAAAGCTCGGAAAAGTCGCCATCATCATCATCTTCATCGGGTTCGTAAGGTATCGTTAGGTCGCTGGTAGCATTGTCCTCCTGTACGTCATTGTTCTCATTATCCACGCCGCGCTCCCTTAATTCGTGTTTTGTTACCCCGTCCCCATTGTTCGAGTTCTCCGGCTCGAAGTCGCACCCATCTTCTTCGTCCGCCCAAGGCAAGCTGTCGTCAAAATCGAAGTCATCCGGCAAAGGGCACCTTTCGCTTGGTGCGTCATCCGTGACCATGGTATTTGGCACGAGCTCACTGTCATGATGATGATGGCGACATGCGAGAGAAACAAAAGGGGATTGTACAACCGCGCGCTGGCACAGTTCTCTGCCGTCTCCTCCCAATGGCAGGTGTTCAGGACTCTCGAGGTATGGGGAGGATGACCTCTCGTCGCAGACAATCGGTGAAGTCGCGGGGGTACAACTTTGTCGCGACTCTGGGAGGGATTCGGCTTTGCTCGGAGAAAGGGCCGAAAGAGCAAATATTGACCCACCGTCTTCGATTGAAGGCGAGCTCGAGATCTTGTCCATCATGTCATCATCCATGTCCACTTCGGCGTCACCGTCCAAATCGCCGTCGTCGACCTCGTGGCCACCATTCTGGGCGACTGCCAGCGCATCCTCCTGGGCGCCGGCGCGCATCGCGTCCGCTCTGCCGTTTTGTCGGTCACTCGTGGCCGAGTCGAGAGCGAGGGTATGAATTCGAACGTCGTTGTGGTCGGGGTACCACGAGACACCAGGGCTCCGGAGATTCTCCTCGGCAGTTTCGGCCGCAACCTCGCGGAGGGTCTCGGCTTGGTGTGGAGCGAACGATCCGTCAGGAGGCGGGCCCTGGTGCTTTTGCGCGGATGGCGTTTCGTGGTCTTGGAGGTCGATGGTGTCTGTTGAGGCAAGAAAGGATGTGTTAAGGAGAGAGTCGCTAAATCTGGCACAGTCCGGCACAGTCTGGCACGGGCTGAGGCACAATTGCAAGGCAGAAACCGCGCAAGGACACCCGATGCGTGGGTCGTGGGTCACAAGCCACGAGGGACAGGGCCACGGCGGCGCGCATCCGTCCAGGGCGCCAGGGGCAGGCGAGATGAAGGGGGATTGGGGGATTCGGGGGGGGTGCAAGCATACCAGCGCGAATAATCTCTGGCCTCGTCATTGTCAATTGCCCAGTTCGCGCATGAAACGCCCCGCAAGTAATTGACGATTTTGTCTCTCAGCGATCTCCACCGGCGCTTCCAATGCACGTTGGGCCACCAAACTTTTGAAAGCTGACACAATTGTTGGAGGCCGCTTCTTGTGTCGAGATGATTGAGCGAACCCCTGAACTTTCCCAGCTGCGGCTGGCGGGCTAGCTAGCGTCAGATCGATTTATTCGGGCTGATGAGTCGCCCCAGTTTTAAGCTAGCACATGAAGATGGATGGCCCGAGGATGGCTTGGCGTCGGAAGAGCGCAGCGCATGCTTGTCGTGCGAGAGCGTCGCATTTGAGACGATCTCTAACTCGGGAGGTAATCCTCGAGACTATTGAGGGAACGTAAGAGTTTACAATCACTGAATGACCTAATGGCTTTCGTGGGACTATCAATGTTTCGATCGACCAAGTTGCTGAGCGAGCCAGGCTGGGGATCCCGGGTTGCTCTCGCGAGCGTTCAGTTGTGCTATGTGCTACATCGGGTTCCGGAGCTGAGTGCCCGAGCCGCAATGTTGGGCTGATTTATTTTACGGCCTGTTTTTTTTTATGCTCAGACGACCCCGCCAGGGCTGATGAATTATGATATAGGAAATAAATATTTATCATGGATTGGTTCTGGACGAAACATGGTCTTAACAACGGTTTCTAAATCTGAAAATGGAATATGTAGGGGCTCCCACTAGACGCACACTACGGGCTCTGATGATGAAACACTGGACTTGCAGGGCAAAGGGAGGTGCAATCTCGATGGCCCCGAGGATTGGGGGACGGTGGGGTCGAAACGCTCTGACCTCAATCTGGGTTGCCCCGCTTTGGCATCAGGTCCAGTAAGGTCCCGTCAGCCATTGCTCGCATTGCCGAAGAATTATTTGCCGACCTGAGATCCTCTGTCAAAACGTAGAATACCGCGGGGTACTATATATTGCTCTTCCGCCGCCGCGACCTTGGATCTGGATTATCATGATCACGTGGTGCGCAAATTCGTCCAGAGTACGTCGTCAAGTCCTTTTCTCTTTTCCTGTTACGATTCCTCGACTGATGAATGCCGAGCGGTTGGGACTGTTATACAAGCAGATTGTGTCTACCCGACACTAAGATAGGTAACGAAGGCTCCGAACACACCATCCCCTTGCCTTCCCATCCCACGCTCATGTCATCCATCATTCACCAACACCCCAGACAGACAAGAACTCCATACCCTTGGTACCACCGAGTTTCTCGAACAACCCCAACCCCGAAATGAGATCCCGCTGCCCCCAGTGCCCCAGCCTGCACGAGTCATGAGCTGCCCGCCCGGTCGTTGCCAAGGCGGTTCCCCACAAAAGACAAGCCTTTGCCAAGATCGGATGCCAACAGGACGGGCTCCCCTTGGCACCTTCCATTTTGTTTGTCGAACACCCCCTGGCGATGACACGAATGTGTTTTCCTTCAAAGTCCGAGGACAACCTCATCTGTGCCCTGCTCTGTCACTGCATACGCCGCAGCCAACGACTGTTTGTCCGAGGACGGGCACTGCGTCAGAGGCATATTTGTCAGACACCTTAGGATACACACTGTGTGCACCACCCCTCACGTTGGAAAAGGTGTGAAAACTGGATGATCCGGAGTTGTGTGTGGGCCGAGCTGACATTGAACCACACACAGCTTGTTCAGATGTCGTCTTGTCACCGTTTTTGCAGGTTTCTTGCAGGTTCCTTCGCACGTGCAGCAAGTTCCCCAAGTAGCGAGTGGGGATGCCATGGCCCTCAGGTACCACTGGCCAAAAAACCTACCCAAAAAGGCTTGTTTTCGTCTTACTGATGGCGGGTCCAGGGGCCGAATTGAAATGTTTCAGCATGCTGAATCGAAATCCCTCAGTCGACAAGCACGAAATAAGGACACGGCGATACCGGCCGTGTTTGTACATTCGATACGATACATACTACGAAAAAATGGCGGCGGCTTGATCCCCGAGCTTCTGACAAGTGCGGGCCGCTCATTCTCGCCTATGCATTTCACAGTGCTGCGCCCCCGTCCAAGAACGGGGATGGCGTCGTGTGGGTACCAATCCTGTCGAGCAGTTGAAGCGAGTCTGGCCACACAGTGCGGCACTTAGGGGTCGAATGGTGTGCCGCCTGCAGATGGGCGCTTTGATGTTGCCTCGCGGGGTATGTCTAGGTCGGGGTGTCTGGGTGATAAGCGCTAATTAAACATCCATTTACTCATTTATCGGCCGCGAAAATAGTAGCTTTGATTGAGGGTTTTATGCACAACGAATCAGTCTTCATTTCGAGAAACTTGTTACAGAAAGACACATCAACCCTTCTTCTACGCGCAACGACAGGTTACTCACATCGACCTAGTATTGCCTGTGGTTGTCGAGTACAGAGCAGCGGAGGACAAGTGTGCCCGCCAGCTTGGAAATCCCTGACCTCAGCACCCCACCAGGTTAGGAAATGGGTGTGGGACTGGACCCCTCGGACAGTACGCATCTTTTTCCCAGCGCACGGTGCCTCCGCTTGATCCCGTCCATCCGTTTCCCCTGGGAATTTGCCTGATGAAGGAAGGGTGCACCCTTCTGTTCTCCGGCTTATTGAGTCAGGGTCCAAACACTTTCGAGACGGTTTGACGAAAAAGGGCGAAATCGGCCGCGAAATCCACAAGAAAGACGGGAAAGCTTTGTATTGCGAAAGAAGCAAGCCCGGGCGACTTCGGATCCACAGAACCTTCCATCGCACTGATTGACAGCCGCTGCGTGTCCTCGGCGCCCCTTACAACAGGCTCCAAACCGTCCCGACCACGAGGGAGTTCTGGGCGCCCAGCCTCTACAATCCCCCACAGCAAACATTCGCGACGGCGATAGGTTCTTCTGGTTTTCTCGACATCGCGACTTGGGACTCGCGATAGACCGACGACGACGACATTGAGAAAGGATTGATTGGGAGAAATTCGACCAAAATTCCGCGGGAATTCGCAATCGCGCGGTCGCTTCGGGCTCGGCCCTGCCCGACAGCAATCCCTCCACGCCGCAACGGGCCACCATAAACTACGACAAAGTCGATTTCCATGGCGATTGCGCGTATAGCTGAAAGTTAGGCGGAAGCCGCCGTTTATACCGCAACCATGGAACCACGGCAGCTCCTCGCCGGGTTGACGGCCACCGCAGTGCTGCCGACCGGCACACCTTTGGTCGCTCGCAACTGCGGCGGACTGAATCTCCCTATGGGAGGTGTCCTTTCCATGCCGAACGGAGACTTTGTCACCCTCACAGCAGCAGCCGCTTTCAAGCCCGTTTGCACACCGGTCACGCCACCCGCGATCATTGCGAATGGCGGAGGCGGGTCTGTGTCGATCGACGACACGGTCGAGGGATCGATGCCTACCGACGATGGATGGACCTTCTCGGATTACCGGGACCCCTTCTACGCATCGACATTTCCCCAGTGCTACGCTCTGGCCGCAACTACCGTGGTCGCATACACGCTGGTCATCATGCTCTTCGCCACACCGCGGTCTTTTTTGGATGGGGGAGTCGTTGTCTTGGGCCAGAGGGGATTCACAAATAGGGGTTCCGGTCCAACCATTGGCGGGCGGCCCTGGTTACAAAAAGTTGCGGCTCTCGCAGTCGCCATATCCCTGACCATCGCCAGCGCCGCCACATTCCAGGCCGCCGAAGAACAGTACTCATACGGCGTGCAGAACGCAAGGCGATTACAAACGGACGTTCTTGGCGGCAACGAGCTAAAGATCATTCGCATCATATCGAATACCTTCCTCTGGCTTGCCCAGGCCCAGACTCTCATCCGTCTTTTCCCACGCCAACGAGAAAAGGTTATCATTAAGTGGACCGCCTTCGCCCTCATCATGTTGGACGTCATCTTCCAGTCTCTCAACAGCTTCAAATATGAGCAAGGACCGGCCCGGCCCGGCTCTTTCTCGGATGCTGTCCCGGCCCTCAGCTATCTCTTTGCCCTCTCGTTGGGTGTTCTCTACGCCGCTTGGGTGATTTATTATTCCCTGTTGAAAAAGCGATACGCCTTTTGGCACCCGCAAATGAAGAATATGCTGCTGGTGGCGGTGTTATCGCTGTTTGCGATTCTAATACCCGTTGTGTTTTTCATCTTGGATATCGTTCAACCCGATTTTACCGGATGGGGCGAATACGTCCGATGGGTAGGTGCAGCCGCCGCCAGCGTTATCGTGTGGGAGTGGGTGGAAAGGATCGAGGCCCTGGAGCGAGAGGAGAAGAAAGACGGGATACTTGGCAGGGAAGTGTTTGATGGAGATGAGATGCTCGAAATGGCTCGTTCAAATAACGGGCTCAGGAGGAGGCGAAAAGAGGCCGACGAGGCGGATAAAGAGTCCAGCTTTGACAGCGGGAGGGATGACAGCCCAGGTGCAGGGCAGAGCAATAATAGGTGGCCAAATGTCACGGCCATTACAGCCAGATACCGACCACGGCCGAAGCCCAAGAGGACGACGAACCCCCCCAAATCGCCAAGTACGCAACCGTCCAACCACGATAGGATACGATTCCTACAACCTCCATTATGGCCGGCGAGGCCACCGCCGGCTGTCACACCCATCAGCCGCACCGATACTTCCAGCGCGGCGAGCACAGTTTACGCTGTCCGGTACCATCCACTAACCGAAACGACCTCGCGCACTCCCCCTCCTCCACAAGGTAACGCGCAGCTTTCACAAAGGGACAGCGTATCCTCGAGCCACGCCGGTGATGATGACGGGACCCCGAGCGAGGGCGGCGACGTGCCTACCCAGCCGACCCAGGCTGCACCACAGGCACCATCGGCGCCATCGACAGCGGCGACGTCGGCCAACCGCTGGCGCTCAATAACGCAGCGAATTCCCTTCCAGAATCCACGCAACACCGACGTGGAGCGCGCCGTCCCGGTAACTCAAGACAGCGTCCCACGGCAAAAAGCCAGCGGGAGCAGCAGAAGCAGTAGCAGCAACAAATGGGACTTCCGGGGCCGTCTCGAGGACTTCGCCGCCACGCAAGCAGACCGCCTGCGTGACAAATTTTGGACTACACCGGACACCGACAGCCTGCCAGTGACGGTCATCCCAGCCCCGCCCCGACGGGGTGCTGCGCTTGCGCAGCTACTCGAGGAGGAGGAGCTGGACACCCAGGGGGGCACGACCAACCTTCCGGTGCACCGACAAGATAGCAATATATCGAGGGCGGTGCCGGCAGAGGAGGAGACGTCCCCTGTCACCAGATTTGTGGCCGGGTCTACCAACGAAGGGCCGAGGGTGCAGCATCAGCAACATCAGCAGCCCCAGCTCTGGCCAGGCGCTATTCGGCGCGAGTCGGAGTCGCTTTCTGCGCGCCCACGGTTGTCGATACCCCGGGCCGGCACCCCGTCAATAACCGGGCTAGACAGATCACCGCCGTCCGGCCATCCAGCGTCGGCGGTGACTCCCGGTTCAGCCGTTACCCCTGGCTCAGCGGGCCCTCCGCCGCCGGGTTTCGGCCATGGACCGGACCACGGCACGCCCCCGTCATGATTCCATGTTTCCATGGGTTTTTTTTTCTTGGATCATGTGCTGTTATGTATGAGCATTTACGAGCAAGTTATCCGCTAGCGGGCACTCTCTTGGTTATTCGGTATTTACGTTCGACGGGCGTATCGAAGCGATATATATGTTGGATCGAGCAAAATGGCGGGCGCAGGCCACAGGGATGATATGGTTATGGGTGTCTTTTTGAGGGTGGTGCAAGGAGTTTATAGGTGGGTTGGGGATTGGAGATACCAGGATCAGGAGTTCGATTTCCCGGACGGAGCAACGTTTCCAATTTTTTTGTGGATGCTCGATGCTGTAATTGAGCTGCTTGTCGTTTCTATACTATATCTATGGGGACTGATGCCGTCTCTCTGGCTTGGTCTTCCTGTCGAGAACGAACTGAATCATGAACGTGATGGTCACGGAACAGTCCGTAAGGAACGCTTGCCGAGTGCGAGAGACGCGATAGCGAGAGATGAGTGGTGGCCTGCCGTACCCAACCGCCCACTCGGGTGCTCTTCCCGCAAGGCAGTGTTGCGGTTAGCGCCAACAGCTCAAGTAGGACAGGTCTGAGCGCAAAGTTCATCCCAACTCTTACCCTTCAGCACTAGATATAACTTCCAAATGGTCAGTTGTCACCCACCCCTCAAGTACCGCTACGGGTGCCGCAGCGGTTTCAACTTGGGGAGTTGTGAGGTATCCGTATTTACAAACCCCGCCCCCGAGTCGTCCCTCCCTGCGCTGAGTGGGAAAAAGAATCACCTCCGGAAGTTCGGCCGGAAGGCCCCGATAAAAATAACTCCATAAAAGCCGGTGTCCGTGTTCCGGTTCCGGTTCCGGTTCCGGTTCCGTCCGCCTCTCAAACTCGCTCCGTGGGACCCGGCACGCCGGGTCTGTGGCCGGGTGCAAAAATGACAGCCTACAATATGATTGCTGAGGCGGATTCCGACGATGAATGTAGGCTCTGGGTTCGAAAGCTCATTAACGCCAGAGACGACGTCGTCGCCTTCGTTGATTCCCGGCTAGACGGTCAAGGGACCGGAAAGTACCTCGGCTTCTTCAAAGGCTCTTTCAATTTCAGCTTTCACATCGGCTTTGGAGAAGGGAAGCCGAGTGTCCTCATACGCGTTGCGAAGCCCGGCCACACCTTTACCGCCTGGCGGGACGAAAAAGTCAAGAATGAAGTACGGGTGATCGAGTACCTCCGGGAGCATACCACTATTCCCTTACCTCGCGTGCGATGCTGGGGTCTGACTGATGAGAGGCCGGCTCAACTGGGACCCTTCATCATCATGGATTTCATCGAAGGCGTTCGGCTATCCACCTTTCTCAAGGAACCCTCTGAGGACGATCAGGCAGATCCCATCCTAAATCCAGCCATCGAGGAGGCGACACTGGAGACGATCTACGACCAGCTTGCCGATTACATCCTCCAAATCTCCCAACTCGAGTTCTCATCTATAGGTGCCATCTCAAAGGATGTCAGCTCCGGCACTTGGTCCGTCACCGGAAGGCCACTCACCTTCAACATGAACGAGCTGGCCACCAACACGGGCTACCCAGCCGACCAGTTCCCCAACGCCCCCCTCATCCACGCAAGCGACTACTTCCACGCCCTCGCCGACCACCACCTGCTCCACCTCCGCACCCAACGAAACCTCTCCCCGTCCAACGGCGCAGCCGACGTCCAACGACGATTCATCGCCCGCCACCACTTCCGACAGCTCATCCCAAAGTACTGCACCACCACCACCGGCAGCAGCGTCGGCCCCTTCACCCTCTTCCGCGACGACCTCCAACCCGCCAACATGCTCCTCAACCCCACCACCCTCCGCATCACAGCGCTCCTCGACTTCGAGTTCGCCTACAGCGCGCCGGCGCACTTCACACACGACCCGCCCTGGTGGCTGCTGCTGCGCGGGCCGGACCTGTGGCTGGATAAGCATGGTGGTTTGGACCAGTTCCTGGAACGGTATGTGCCGCGGATGGGGCAGTTTTTGAGGGCGTTGGAGCAGGTTGAGCGGAAGGGGGAGGTTGAGGGTGAGGGTGGGGTGGGGGAGGATGGGTTTGTTGTGGCTACGGCTATGGGGGTGCGGGGTGGTTGTGGGAGGAGGTTGTCTGCGCGGATGAGGGAGTCTTGGGAGACGGGGCGGTTCTGGTTTGATTATGCGGCGAGGACGAGCTTGGATATTGATGATGTCTACTGGGCGGCTCTGCACGATTATGGGGCTGATGGGGATGGCTTTGAGGGGTTGGATGCGGCTACGCGGGCGGAGATGGAGGAGCTGGTGACGCTGAAGATGGAGCAGCGGCGGGCTTATAATGAGGCGTATGACATCAGCTTTCCGGATGACGAGTCTGACTGAATCAGAGAGGGTTTATTGGTACTGCTAGTAGTCTGGATAGACGAAGGCAATGGTTAGTTACGTGGCGATGGAGTTGGTCCCGCACAGCGTTGGTATGAGTATCAACCCAGCTTTGCCGAAACTCCCTGGAATTATATCAGTCAATAGCATTTGTAAACCGTGAAACAGTCACGTTCCACCTCGGCTATTCCTGCTCTCTTCTTCCCTGTCAATGAGGGATAGGCCCCTATTAATAGAGAAAGGCAAAACCATCATCATCCGCCACCCCGATCCGCGCCAGCGCGCGTCCCAGGACATCCGCAGACGATCCCATCCCGCAGATCCGGCCCAGCACCCAGCACTGCCAGACACCACAAGAACAAGAACAAACCACAGTCGTCACCGGCGACGATCGGCTCGGGAGTTTGGTTGGTTCGAGTTTCACCTTGTCGCGCGCTCGACGGCGCCAAGTTCAGCCAAGAAGGGGGCCAAGAGGGCCAAGATAACCAAGATGGCCAAGATACCAAGATGCCAACCCACCAACACCAATGCCTCCCTCCCCTGGGTTGCCGATCGCCCGCAAAAACACGGCAGACGGCCGGCTCTGCCTCCCACGCCAAGTCGCCGCAAGAAGGGCTTGGCCGTGCCTCGTGAGACGCTGCCCGTTGCGTTGCTCTCCTTTTCCTCGGTTGATCATGCCTGTTGAGGCGGCTGTTTTTGTTTGTTTTGTCGCAGCTCTTATCTCTGCTCCCCCAGCCCAAGGGGCTGAGTGAAGTGTTTGCGCCGTGTCAGAGAGGGCTGATAACGTTCAGTGACGTGGGCGTAGGTACGGAATACATTGTGCCCTATCATGCTGGGCTGGGCTGGGCCAGTGAGCGCGGATTGTCCAGCGCCGTGTTTTAGCTTTGGGGTGTGTACATGAGCGATCCGGTGGATGGGAATGTGATTTTCAGGGCGATACGTTTGTTTCGATTCGTTGCTGATACACGCCCATGTCGAGAGTGGTTCCGTGGCGGGAGTGTGTCGTTAAGAATGCGCCATCTCGCTCGCTCATTACACGCCGATGATCTCTTCTTGGGCTCATTTTCTGTCTTGTCTTGTCCTTACTTGGTGGCTCTGGCAGCGCCAACTAGTGTCTTGTTTTTGTATCGGCGGGTTCTCTTCTCTTCTCTTTGGTTTATATACGTCTTCTCTCTCTTTTTTGTTGGAAATTTGAATCATCCCATTTCCGCCCCCATCCCCATCCCCATCCTCCCTCTTAGTACCCCTGAGCAAATACGTCTGTCCAAGTAACGCAGCAGCTTGCTGGCCCCCGAGCGCCGTGTTAGCCACCACCATGCCGAACCTCGATGTCAGCGAATTGAACATCGTGTTGAGCGTCCTTGGTAGGGAGATACACCCCCACTGAGGGGGGCACATTAGGCTGACGCACATACATACAAGGCGCCTTCATCCTCCTCTATGGCATCATCTCAGTCCTGATCAAGGCCCGGTGGTTGCTGGGCGAAGCTCGTGAGCACATCCAGACAGACGTCTTCCCACCCAATGTAGCCCCCAGTTTGTCTGACCGTCTCCAGTCCCTGCCGTCGTCATCGGCGTCGTCCTCGGGCCCATCGCCGCCAAGTTCCTCGACAGCTCACGATGGGCATCGGCCGCCGACGGCCAAACATCGGCCATCACGCTCGGCATGGCCCGGGTCGTCATCGGGGTACAGCTAGTCATCGCGGGCTTCCAGCTGCCGGCCAAGTACCAGCAGCTGCGGTGGAAGGAGATGGCGCTGTGCCTGCTGCCCATCATGACCGTCATGTGGCTGTGCACCACACTCTGCCTTCTGGCGACGGTGCCCCGGATCACGCTCCTCGCCGCGCTGGTCATCGGCTCGTGCGTGACCTGCACCGACCCCATCCTCTCGCAGGCCATCGCCAAGGGGCCCTTCGCCGGACAAGTTCGTCGGCCGCCACCTGCGCGAGATCATCTCGTCCGAGGCCGGCGCCAAACGACGGCATTTGGGTTCCCCATTCCCTCCATGCTCGCCGTCTACCTGATCCGTCATGCCGACATCCCGGGCGCCGGAGCCGCGCATGGCGAGGAGGCCGGGCTGGTGGCTCGCGCGGGAGATGTGGGACGGCTCGGCGGCGGTGTTGGGGTTGCGATGCAGAACTGGTTCGTGGAGACGTGGCTGTACATCGTTTTGATGTCGGTGGCTATTGGTGCGCTGGTCGGCGGTGTCAGCATGTTCGCCCTAAGGTTTGCGCTGCGCAAGTACGTCAACCATCCACACCACAACCATACCCTGTCCTGCCCTTGTCATGTCCTGATTTAGTGCCTGCAAAGACCACAACTGACCGGTCATTCTGATCTAGGAAGTGGGTTGATTCGGAGAGCTACCTTCTGTACCCTACTGCCATTGGCGTGAGCATCCCCATCTCTTACATGGATTCCGTGTGTGCATACCTGGATGTTGATGATCTAACTTGACGCCGTTCTCAGCTCTGGCTTGTTGGCGTTTGTGGCATGCTCGGTACCGACGACCTGCTCGCCTGCTTTGTGGCCGGCAACGTCATGAACTGGGATGGCGAATACCTCCGCGAGACGGAGGACCGGCATGACGAGGTCAACTCGTGCATGGACGTTCTCCTCAACTTTGGCGGCTTCATGTACATCGGCACCATCATCCCATGGAGCGAGTTCAACCAGCCCGACACGACCGGCCTCACCTACGGACGGCTCATCGGCCTTGGCGTGCTTGTCTTGTTGTTCCGGCGCATCCCAGCCATCTTGATGAGCTACAAGTTCATGCCGGCGGTCTGCAAGAATTACAAAGAGGCCCTGTTCATGGGCTATTTTGGTCCGATCGGCATTGGCGCCGTGTTCTACGTGGAGCACGCGCGTCATCTCTTCCCGGAGCTGGGCGAGGGTGACGCCGAGGAGACGGACCTGGTCCGGGCCATGGTGCCAGTGGTGTACTGGCTCGTGCTCTTCTCCATCGTCGTACATGGCCTCTCGATCCCGGCGCTCAATCTGATCTACCGCCTCTGCGGCGTCAAGCCGATCCAGGAGGACGCCGTCGAACTCCGGCGCATGTCCACGCGCGTAGTCACGCCGGTTAATGCCACAGTGGGTGACAGCGATACCTTCATCGCCTACAACCGCTTTTCGCGGCCCGTCTTTAACAAGGCGGACCTACCTCCGGTGAACGGGGTTGGTGCGGGGGACGACGATTCCATCGCAGAGGAGAAGACGCGCGTCCAAAGGCGGTACTCTCGCCGGGTTCAGGTTGTTTGACGGGGAGTTTGTTCGTTTTGGTTTGCACGTGTCGCCACCGTCTCGGTCTGGACTGGGAGCGGGAGGTGCCACAGAAATAGACATACATATTAATACTCACCCTAGTCTATCATTTATTTTCTTGTTCGCAGCACGCCTTTTCCGTGGGGGTTGATGGGTCATCGTCTTTACGAGCACAATGCAGAAGTTACGTGTTTGGAACAACCTTGTGGAACAACCTTGCTCGAGCCTGGGATGGTCATTTGGAGCCATTTTAGGTAAAACAATAAGTGAGATCCTGGAAGTGGAAAGGGAAGGAGGGGATGGGAATCGAGGGGCTGTGGCTGTGGAAGTGGAAGTTGCCGAAGATGGAAAAGTTGCGATCAGAAGCAGGAGGAAAATCCCTCAGCAAACTCGCTCCCAGGTGGCCCCTTACATTTCATCGCCACCAATCAGCAAAACCCATGAGCAAAAGAAGTTGGCGAGTTTGTGCGTGATAGCGATAAAGGACCGGCATCCATCATGCATAGCGAGGCCTCCCGTCCCTTTACCAGACCCCCGGTAACGAGCTGCATTCCCACAACCAGCTGGCGCTCACTACCTAGGTACATAGGAATCGACCGTTCGGATATTATATATGCACCTGGATGTACCTATATGCCTACATACAATATGGAACACACCACACCCTCGGCATCGACACTGTAACCCAACAACCACCCACCAGATTCCGTCTTCGATTGCTATCATTGTCAGACTCGGGGCTTCTCCGTTTCTGCTGGCCGCCATGTGGAAACCAGAGCTTAACTACATCACCCTGCATTGTAAGATACCGCCAAGTTTGTCTCGGGAAGCAAACATACGTATTGGCCATGTGAATGGATGGACGACTGACTAACGTGTGTTGCCCACTTACCACACATAGATGCATGGATCATCTTTGCCGGCCTCCTCGCCCTGGTGGTCATCTACCCTTACGGCAATATCTCTGCCATGGACGCCTGGTTCTTCGGCGCCAGTGCATCCACCGAGTCGGGCCTCAACACGTTCGTCAAGCAGCCGTAACACTCCTCTCAACCACACCCCTAACACGCGTGCAGTGTCGACATAAAGGATCTGAAAACCTACCAGCAAGTGTACACCTACGTGATCCCCATCATCACCAACCTCGGCTTTATCAACATCATCGTCATCACTGTCCGCCTCCGCTGGTTCGAGAAGCGCTTCAAAGCAGTTGGTGAGTCTCCTTCCCATGGAGTTGGTTATGTCAAGCGGTACCTAACATAATCCTCCTCAGCAGCGTCATCCTCCAAGCTGAGTGGACGCTCAGAGGACATTGAAGTCCAAATTCAGGCGGCAGTACCGGAGAGACCCAAGGACCAAAGTTCCAATACCGAACCGTGAGTCCCGAAGAGAAGACCTATTGGCTGGGTTAGATAGTGACTAGGTGCTTGTTTTCTCTCTTCTCTCTCCAGGGCCGAACAAAACCCAACACACGAAAAGCCTAAGGCAGATGAGCTCGTGGAAACTGCCTCCTCGGGGCCCCAAGGGCCCCGCGTCACCTTTGGGGAAGACGTAAAGGAGCCTCGCGCGGATTCGACTTTGTATATTCCACCGCCGAGAGAGCGTGATGACGGTACTAAAGCCTGCTTATCGTGGCGCAATCGACGTTTAACTGACTGGAACCATGCAGGGCATTCTTTTGTTGAGAGGAACCACGTTGCAGATGAAGAAGACGGTAACGAGGCTGGCTCCGGCCATGATTTAAAAGGCTCGCCTGCTAACATGCCCTTGCCAGACGAGGACGCCATCAAGCCTGCCATGCCCGGGGGTGTTTCCAGAAGACGAGGATATCAGCACGAGGACGAGCCCAGCATGTCGCGCAGCAGAACCGTGGAACAGGCTGTCACCTCCCTCTTCGTCCTCGGTAAAACCGTGACGGGGTCTTCAAGACAATCAGCGCCGACTCTGACTTCACACCCTGCCGAGATGCCGTATCTTTCCAAACAGGCAACGCTTGGAAGAAACTCGAGCTTCCACAGACTGACCGCCCAAGATCGGGAACGGCTTGGCGGCATCGAGTATCGAGCCTTGAAGTTGCTACAGAAGATTGTCACTGGTACCACGTCGACATAGCCCCCAGACTCACCAAAAGAAAACTGACGCACCGTGTAGGCTATTTTGTTGGCATCAACCTCTTCGGGGTGATTTGCTTGCTACCGTGGATACATAACGCGCCTGCAAAATACACTGACTGGCTGGAAGAGTGCGCGCAGGACAAGACTTGGTGGTAAGCTGCCCACATCAGTCGCAACACCGTGTTCTGATGCTTACTTATTTACCCAAGGGCCTTTTACTCGGCCCAGACCATGGTGAACAACCTCGGTTTCACCCTAACCCCCGACTCGATGATTACATTCAGAGACGCCACTTGGCCCATGCTGGTCACCAGCTTCCTCGCCTACGGGGGAGAGACCTTCTACCCGGTCTTCATGCGCCTCATTATCTGGATCATGTCCAAGCTTGTGCCGAAGCAGTCGTCCCTAAAAGAACCGCTCCAGTTTCTACTGAACCACCCGCGGCGGTGCTCCATGCTCCTTTTCCCCAGCCGGCCGACCTGGATCCTCTTCGGCATCTTGTTCGCCATGAACTTTGTCGACGTGCTCCTGATTATCGTTTCGGATCTCGACAACCCTGCGGTCAACGTGCTGCCGATGGGCCCGCGCATCCTGGCCGCACTGTTCCAGGCGGCCTCGGCTCGGCACACGGGCACGGCCGCCTTCAACCTCGCCGAGGTCAACCCGGGCGTGCAGTTTACCCTGGTGGTGATGATGTACATTGCCATCTTCCCGATTGCCATCAGCATCCGGGCGTCAAACACGTACGAAGAAAGGTCGCTGGGCATTTACGAGCAGCAAGTGGCACTGGACGAGTCCAACGGCAAGTCGTATGTCATGATGCATATTCGAAACCAACTCAGTTTCGACCTGTGGTACATCTTCCTCGGCACCTTCTGGATCTGCTTCGCCGAGGCTCCCAGGATCATGGACAACAATGATCCTGTAAGTGACAAGCCCAGACAGACCCGACAAGCTGTTTAAAAGGGTGCAAGGGACGGCGAAGCTGACCAGCATAACTACCATTATCAGGCCTTTTCGGTCTTCTCCATCATGTTCGAGGTCGTCTCAGCATAGTACGCATTCCCCCATCCCCAAACCATATCTCCAGATCAGGAGCTTGAGCAGCACTAACCACCACCTAACCCACAGCGCCAACGTCGGCCTCTCTCTCGGCCACCCTTCCGTGTCGACGTCCCTCAGCGGGAAGTTTACAACCGCCAGCAAGGTCGCCATCTGCGCCATGATGATCCGCGGCCGTCATCGCGGCCTCCCATATGCCGTGGACCGCGCTGTGCTCCTGCCGGGTGAGCCCGAGTACCGGGGTTTCGCCGGCCACGGCGGCGGTCCGGCGGAGGGGGGTGGGGGCGCGTCGTTGCCAAAGGGACGGCGGGCTGCCAGTCGGGAGTTGTCGCGAGGTGAATAACTGGGTAAGGTAGGTACATGTATAGCCCGGGGGGTTGTTGTGTGATCTGTCTCCTCTCGCCTGGCTCTCTACGGCCCTGTTTGGTCCGTCTACCGGGGCGCTTCTGGGCCGAAGCGATTCGGAGGGCGGCCAAACGGGTCATTTCCGTGTATTCATCGAGGCAGCTGAACCCAATGTGACCACAATACCAATCTCAATATCTTACAGCTACACAATACAATGTGTTTCGGTACCTACCTAAGGAGTTACAGTTGTGGAGTGTGGACATACCCCAGAGAAAATATCGTACCATACCTATTTCGTACTTCGTATCTCGCTGTATTTACGCTTCTTAGTTGAAGACCGGCGGACATGGCGAACCCCTTTTCAAATACTACCCCAAAAACCTTAGCACGGCTTGGCTGCAAGATCAGGGTCCAACTGAAATCCAGATGTGGAGAGTTCGACGCGGTTGCAGCGCGCCGATCATTTCTCGAAGAATTGCACAGATCTGGTTGGATCATTACCTGGGTATTCGTACCTAACCGGACTGTGTACTTCCATGTTCGGACTCGGAGAGTCCGAACCGTGTATGTATTACAGGCACGGTCCGATCCGATGAGGAGAGCGTTGGTCAATTATTTGAGTTTGTTTTAGTTCTCATATCGTCCATGTTTTGCCACTGTGTGTAGAGCCAATGGTGAGATTTACTCGGACTCTCAGATATCTCTCAAGTAGTTCACTAACTATTTCGTTGCCTGTAATATGAGGTAAGCATGTTACCGAGGGTAACTCACTAGTTAACTCGTTAACTAGTTAATACCATACAGCGTGTTGCTTGGCAAAAGTGGATTCACTATCTTTTAGGGAATGAAGAGAGAAGAGTTCGTTTCTGCTTCCGCATCGCGACTCCTGTAGCTGACACGTGCTGTCTTTTCCTTCCCTCACACCTCTCCTTTTCCCGAAACTACGCTATTGCGACGGGACAGCATTACCCGGGCAATTGATACGATTAAATACGAGAGAGCGTCTCAATTGCGATTCCGATACGCGAAAACCTAAGATCTGCACTTCACCTTCACCAGGGGCACGGCGTCTCCCGCATTTTTAAGTATCGGATTTAAACACACAAAGAAGTGACAATGGCGGGCGGCTCCGAGCCTTTCCCGCCGCTTAGCATGGCAGCCAATCGCCAGTTCCAATCCACGACGGCAGACAATAATGCCCCTCGCCGCCGGAGAAAGTCCAGCATCCTTGGGAGCGAGTTGCGACTCGGCGACACGGGCGCCCCTTCAATAGCAACCGGCATTGCTCATCTCAGCGGCAAGGTATGTCTTCATAGGGAGAAGAGGCAGTTTCAAGGCCTTGTCATGCTGACGGCAGCAGGAGCCAGCACTAAGCCCCGCGACACCCTCCAAGCGATTCTCCAAGCGTCGAAAAGCCCGATCCGCCTTACGCCGCGCGAAAAGCATCGCTGTCAAGCACACCTGGGTCCTGCCGCTAGTCATCCTGTTCGCCTTCCTACTGCTATACGTCGTCAACCCGACCGAGAGCAACCCGATCCACCATTTCATATTCTTGTCGTACCGGTTGCCCGTGTCCAGCCCCGACGAGCTCCCGCAATATGGCAAGGGCCTCTGGGACATCGCCTTCGTCTCCTTCTACACCGTCGTGCTCTCCTTCACCCGCGAATTCATCATGCAAGAGATTCTGCGCCCCTTGGCCCGCTACGCCGGGCTCAATTCCCGCGGAAAGCAGGCCCGCTTCATGGAGCAGATGTACACGGCCCTTTACTTTGGCATCCTGGGACCCACCGGCATGTACGTCATGAGTCGCACTCCCGTGTGGTACTTCAACACCCGCGGCATGTATGAGAACTTCCCGCACCAGACCCACGACGCCGTCTTCAAGTTCTACTACCTCTTCCAGGCCGCTTACTGGGCCCAGCAGGCCATCGTGCTGCTGTTGGGCATGGAGAAGCCGCGCAAGGACTTTAAGGAGCTGGTCGGCCACCACATTGTCAGCCTGGCTTTGATCGGCCTGAGCTACCGCTTCCACTTCACCTACATGGGACTGGCCGTGTACATCACTCACGACATTTCTGACTTTTTCCTTGCCGTACGTGTTGCCCCCCATCGTCTTTCCCCTTATCTACGTAACTAACCTTTCCCGCCTGCTCAGACCTCCAAAACCCTCAACTACCTCGACCACTGGCTGACGGGCCCCTACTACTTCACCTTCATGTGCGTGTGGATCTACCTGCGTCACTACCTCAACCTGCGCATCCTCTTCAGCCTCTTCACCGAGTTCAAAACAGTCGGGCCCTACGGTGTCAACTGGGAGACCCAGCAATACAAGGGCACCTTGTCCTTCGTCATCACCCTCGCCCTCCTCAGCTCGCTGCAGGCTCTCAACCTGTTCTGGCTCTTCTTCATCCTGCGCATCGCCTACCGCTTCGCCGTCCACAACGTCGCCAAGGACGACCGCAGCGACGCCGAAGAGTCGGAGCTGGAGGAGACTGCTGCCCCGGCGGTAAACGGCAAGGCCGCGGCCGTAGCGAACGGGACTGCCAAGAGCTACGCTGCTACGGCTGCCGTTGATGCCGCTACGAACGGCGCGGCGAAGAAGCGCAAGTAAAAGGACGCGCGCTTCGGGCGTCGTCTTCCTTCTTGTGTACACATTTGTTTGGATTAGATGGGAGACTGTATCTGGAGAAGGGTGACGGCATATCTTTCGCTTATCACGCATTCCTGGCTGCTCTACGGCGAGATAGACAGGCGGGTCATGGACAGGTGTCGAGGCGTTGTTTTGAGGGGACGGGTACTCCTGGTTGAGCATTGTCAATAATGGTCTTGGGGGTGGTTTTGTTCAAGGCGTCGTCGTTCGCTAGAAAAAAAATGGCCGGGGGTACTATACGCTCGCTTATCGGTTTGGGTATAAAGAGGGGGGGTTGGGTTACGACGTGGAAGACGACCATTATGGGGAGGCAGACTTCAGGGCAAGGGCAGGAGTTGTCGGGTCGGTCCCGGTAAAGACGGGCTCAGTGAGCGAGCGAAAACATGAAGAGGGCACAGCTGCATCCACCCAGGAAACTACACAATCCATCCCGCCTGGCCCACGCAGAGGAACCGGCCGAAGCATCCACGGGCCCTCAGACCAACAACACCTGAAACACAACATATCAAGAAAAGGCAGGACAGGGCAGGACAGGGCAGGGCAGGTCCCAGGCAAGAACGACCATGTTGACACGCGCACACGCCCGACGACTGGTTGCTATCCATGTCACGGACACACATCATATATACGGTTTGACTGATCTGTACGACTTTTGGACTCTTCTCTTTTTTCGACTAGTACACAACGTTTTGAATAGTAGTTTTAATACAACGACTGATGCACACACCACGGTGGGGAGGCGATGTAATTGTCACAAGATCAGACCATATATCGGAATGCTCGCGCGGACCAGTGCGCAGAAACACACGCCCTACACCGTAGGGGGGAGCTCACCCTCGCCATTTTGTCCTAGTTTCCCCCTACAACTATCATATGGGACAATAGAATGTAGGACGGCGAGAAGTCAAACAAGGCAATAGCGTATCTCATGTGTTCATACACATTCAAGCCACACTATCGGAAGGATTCTCTAGATTGATTAAATCAGGGATATCATTTTTTTTTGTATATCCCATCCCACCTCGTGCTCCCGTTGAAAGGGGCCGAGGGCAACACAAAAGCAACCCAAAAAAACAGCAGTCAACACCATGGACTTGCACCCCCATTGCACACCCCATGATGACCGCGGCCGGCTTTGGCCGTACCGCCCCCCCCTATTTGCACCATCCCCAACCAACCCCGTCCCAGTCCCTGTCCCGTCCTTGTCCAAAGCCTATTCCATCCCATCCTATCCTATGCCACCCCGTCCCACTACCCCCCCTCCTACCAAACAAACCCACAACCTGCTAACCGCTGAAACCCATAAACCGCTTCAAAAACGCCACCCATGCTTTGGGAATCATGGTCATATCATCTCTCATTAACATGCAAAATGGCTTGCATGCATGCAACAAAATGTCTTGCCAGCGCAGAAGGGGTAAAAAAAAAAGCAATCAAAAACAAGAAAGTGGGCTGGTATATAACAACACACACAGAAGGAGGACAGTCGAATTATTAGGTTATGCTCCGGAAAACGCCTCCTCTTTGTCTGAACAGCCCAGTTCAAAATTGGGTCGGATTGAATTCGAGTCGTGATTCATCGGGCGCCCGTGATCGTGTTGATCATTATTGCTGCCGTTCGTCATCTTTGTGGGCGGGATTAAAGTGGAGGCTTTGCCTCGCTGGATTGTTGTTGCCGGAATTAATGTCATCAATTGTCGGTGGGGGGTTTGTTAAGGGGAATCACGCCAGTGAGCGGAGGGCAGAGCCAGGCTAGGCAGGCTATGGCTTGATGTGGCTGGCCCATCTCTATGATGACTGGTTTAGATATTAAGTGGTTTCGACACCAGATTCAGCCCGAAGCTAGATCAGGGAGATCTGGATGCGTTTGTCGAACGGCCTGCGGAGGACTCTGAGGGGAACGAGTAGAGGAGCGGTCGGGGCCCGTCATCCGGCTTTCCGGAATGACCTTCGTTACCGTCCGAGCCATCGTCTTGTAGTGTGCCGTCCGAGCCGCTCGAGGAGGTGCTGCTCATGCGCGACGAAATGGAGGCGGTTTCATGCGCGTCAGCAGCCGTGGCTACAGGGCTATGAGGGGCGGTGGGTAGGATGGTAGACGAGAGCATGCTGTTGTAGCCGTCGTCGCCGATGTTCGCTTGGCTCAAAAGCTTCTTGGCCTTCCGAGTGGCATCGCGTGCGTGCTCGGCGGCCTTTTCGGCTCGGCAGTGCTTCTCCCACATGGCGGAGTAGCGGCCATTGAGAGCCAGGAGCTCTTGGTGAGTGCCCCTCTCAGCCACAGTACCGGCGTGAAGGACGATGATTTGATCGGCGTGGGTGATGGTCGACAACCGATGACTGGCGGTGGTTAGTTGTGAGGTCTTGTTGAATTGAGGAAGCGGGGACTTACGCAATGATCAAGAGTGTACGATCTTGACCGAACTTGCCGCTGATCAGCTTGGACTGAATCTTTTGCTCGGTTTCTCCATCGAGTGCCGAAGTCGCCTCGTCTAGCATAATAATCTTGGGGTTTTTCAAGATCGTCCTCGCAATTGCCACACGTTGCTTCTCGCCACCGCTCAGGCGGAGACCCCGCTCGCCCACCTTCGTCAAGTAGCCATCGGGGAAGCTCATGATACGGTCGTGGATGGCCGCAGCTCGGCAGGCGTCGAAGACGTCCTCGTCGGTCGCGTTCGGGTTGGCGTACTTCAGGTTGTACATGAGCGTCTCGTTGAACAGGATGGTATCCTGCGGTACAACACCGATGAAACGGCGCACCGAGTCGATCGATACGTCCTTGACGTCATGACCATCAATCTCGATGCTTCCTTCGCGGCAGTTGTAGTACCGGAACATGAGGCGGAAGACAGTCGACTTGCCTCCGCCAGACTCGCCCACAAATGCGGTCGTGGTGCCCGGCTTGCACTCGAAGGATAGGTCCTGTAGGGCCGTCCTGCGCTTGTCGTATGAAAAGCCGACGTTATTCCACTTGATGTGTCCGGTGCATTCCCGAAGCGGTTCCACGTCGGGCTTGTCCACGACAGTCGGCTGGATCTTGAAAAGCTCGAGCAGTCTCTCGCCCGAGATCATGGCCGACTGTACGGTCCGGTAAAAGGTGCCGAAGAAGTTGAGGGGTCCCTGCAGCTGATTGAGATAGGTGACAAGCAGGACAAAATCGCCAACGGTCCTGTCGCCGCGCGACACCTGGTAACCGCACGTCAGTAGAGCGACGAGCAGGCCGCACATGAACACGACCGACTGGCACATGTTCATGTGGTTGATGCCATATGTAACCTGGGCCTCGGCCTCTTGGAACTTCTTGACGGCATCGCCGTAGCGGTCAAATTCTCTCCTCTCGGCGTTGAAGTACTTGACCGTCTCGTACGACATGATGGAGTCGTTCTTGACAGCTTCCTCCTCGCGGTCGGCGTTGACCATGTCGCGACGCTGGTCAGACCTAGTGGCAGCCATGCGGATGGTCAAGTAAAGGTAGTAAAAGGTAATGATGGAAACGAAAAGGGCGTATAAGGACCCGAAGCGGATGTAAAAGTAGATGATGGCAACCAAAAGGTCTACCAGCATCGGGACCACCTGGAACGTAACCTGTTCGAGGAACTGGTTGATAGAGGCTCCCTTGTTCAGTGCCGAAAGCACCTCACCAGTGCGCTTGCCCAGATGAAAGTCTAGCGAGAGAGAGTGTACATGTTCGAAGGCGGCCGTCGTCAAGGCTCGGTACGTGTGCTGGGAAACGGGGACCCAGAGGATCGACCGGACGGATCCCAACAGACCTGAGGGCCCTTGGAGCAGCTTGTACAGGATCAGAAGCCCTAGTTCTATCCACACTTTGTCGACATCCTTCTTGAACGTGTCGGTTACAATACCGAGCTGCGCGGGCACCAGAATGTTGACGACACGCTGCAGGATGACCAGGATGAAGCACAGCACAACGACAATCTTGAGCCGAGTCGACCTGCTCGGCCACAAGTAGGGGAAGAAGACCGAGTATCCGCGGCAATATTCGAACCACGACTTGTGGGGAAGCTTGTCGGGTCTGTAAAAAGCGGCCCCTTGGTCCTGTTGTTGGCAGCCCTGGTCGGTGGGGTTGTCCGAGTTGCGGCGGGCATTCCCCATGGTGCTGCCGTAGTGGGTACGCCGCGTCGCATGTCCATTGGCGTGGCCGTGATAGTCTCCATTGCCGCTGAGCAATGGGCTCCCTTCGTCCGTATCCGATCCCTGGGCCTCCTCGTCAAGGAGCCGTCGCTCCTCCAACCGCCTTTTAGTAACGGCCGCGTACAGGCTGACGAGGGAGACGAGGAGACAAAGACGAAACCCCGCAATGCCGAGGTCGATGGTGTCCCATGGTCCAGGGCTGCTGTCCAAGCCCGCTGAGAGGTAGCCGAGGTAGCCGCTGCCCGCTAAGGCGAGGATAGAGGCAACCAAGATGACAACCTCGCCCACCAGACCGAGGGTCCAGACGATGAAGTGAACAACGATGGGGCTTTGGCGCCATTCGAGGAGGGTGATGAGAACATAGAGATAGAGAAACGCGGCGCCGACAACGTAGACCTGTATGCTTTGTCAGCTTCGGCACGTCGGTGAACTGCGCGCATAGCGGGGCAAAACTCACAATTCTTTCGTCGCCACACCACCACACATTGGTGGCTCCCGCGTCTTTGCTAGAATTGGCCGAGCTCATGGCATGGGCGGCGATTGCGGCGCCATTGGCGACGAACGACACCACAAGGGCGCCTGTCAGGTACAGAAAGGCGCACCAAGCAAAGCCACCGCTGCCACGAGCATCGTCGTTTGCCTCGAGTGCTTCCTGCTCCCGTTTCTTCTTCGTGATTGGCAAGGGTTTCCCGCCGGGCCCCCTGACGGTGGGTGCAGCCAGCTGCTCCTCCGTCTTTGACGTGACAACGGTGTGAACACCGGCCGAAATGATGAAGGTCAGGAGCAGGATAACCGGATAGAGTAACTGGGCCGTTCGCAGGACCGACTGCGGGGTGTTGGAGACCGGCTCCGGACCGCCGTTGTCGAGTAGCGGATCCATGCTAGGCCTGCGAGCGAGACACCAGAGTTAGAGGAGGAAACGGTGGGTGAGGCAGGAGGAGGAGCGCGTGGTAGAGGACGGCGAGGAGGAGAGAGAGAAGAGGGGGGGCAGGGAGAGACGAGGGTTATTGCAGGCAGTACAACATGCTTGCTGGCCAGCGGAGCTTGGAGGCGAAGGGGAGGGGGGGTGACGCGACAGCGGGAGACGGTGGTGGAAGGTGAAAGAGTGGGCAGCAGGGCGGTGGTGGTATTAAGACATACGGGTTTCCAGGTCAGCGGAAGTCGAGGGAGGTCGTTCTCTTAGAATGAGGCGAAACAGTACCGGCGGCTCATGGCCCTTGCGGGTTGTGGCGGCAAATGGAGGGGTTCGAGGGGCTGTTCATTGTGTGTTTACCCATGGTTAGCAATGGTGAATTCCATGGAACGGCGGCACACAAGGGGGTGAATGGCGCAGTCGTGCTCGTTTGAGGCGGCATGTGGTGGGGAAAGTCGATGTGCAGCTGACGAAGTTGGTTGTGGCTTTCGCCACTGAAGCGGGTCCTGAGGTCGAGATCACGGAGATCACGAACCCGACTAACTATCGCCGGGCGGCATGACTGGCAGATGACATGATTGACTAACCTGGGGGGGGATGTGCAAGCCTTCCCAAGATCTACAGGGTATCTTTGCTTGTGGCTGCCTTTTTCTCTCTCTTCTTTTTTTGGGGTGTCAACCTCGGTCGGGATGGTCTTTCGGTGTGACCTCTCTCTCTATCGAAAGGCAAGGCCGATCTCAACCGATGGATGGACGGAGGAGCGAGACACAGGACCCGGGATCAGCAGACGAATTGAACGTTTCGAGCCCAGGAAGAAGGTGGAAAAAATAAAACGAGCGTGGTGGGACGTGTGTTCGCTGATGCTTTGAGAAAAGTCGAGATCCAAAAGGACCGGCAGACGGGGACTTCCAGGTATTAGTTGACTCGAAGTCAGTCCCGCATGGCCTCCCCGGGGCTGTGGTAGGTGAAGTCGGTAAAAAGGTACTGTGTTGCCGGCTGCTTCGCTAGAACAGCACCCCGGGCGCAGGGTTCAACAGGCATGCAGGGGTACCCTGTTTGGATGGGATGTCAGGTTGCCAGCCAACCAGACGGGGGCAGGCACACGGGTCTTCAGTGCGGTGGGGTGGGGGAGTGGAGGAAGGGGGGGTCCAGGCCTGCGGCTTCCCAGAGTGCAGAAGTCGCAGATGGTTGGCTGGAGGTGACACAAAGCCCGCAGGCGCAAGCGTGTACCACTGGCAGGTACATGTTGTAACTTCCGCTCTTGACCTTGGAATATGGACCTCGTACTTTTCCATTTTTCTGGAACCCAAATTTGAGACGAACCAAGGTAAGGTACGTTCTGCATACCGAAACTGCCGCGAATGACGGGGGCCTAGGCGGTTCCCCTCTCCAATTTACTAGCAGCGTTCAATCATGCCCTAGCAAATAACACTGGGCAGCGACATTCTGAGACCGAGCGAAGACAGAACCAGACAAGCCAGGCCACAGACCAACCCTAAACTCCAGACAAATACAAACCGCACAACACAGATCACACACCATAGTTTAAATCACACATCACAGATCACACACCACCACACCCACACACACTCCACACACCCCACACTGTAATGAACAGGTACCTTAGTTAAACTTTTGGTGACTACCTTTAGCGCCCCCCCCCCCCCCCAAAAAGTGGGCCGGGGTCCCTAACAAGTAACAGCTTCCTGGGACCCGCAGGTGGGGGGGGCTGGGGTTCTTACTAACCAACAGGCGGCAAGTGTGGAGGACCGTACCCCGCGCGCAGGGAAGTATGTTTTTAATCCTAAGCAACGAGTGTTATGTTTAGCACTGTATACGGAGA